TTACAATAAAATGAAGAACAACGCACCCTAGTGTGCTTTCTATAAACAGAGAGAGACAAACCTGCGGAAATCCATCATTTTAACAGCCTCATCAAGCAAAAATGACTTGAAATGAAAAATTTACATCGAATCAATAGCTTCTTTGCAAGGAAATTGGTTTCACTGTAAACAATAATTGCCAAAAAGATTCTTCTCGTCTGAATCCTTGTAAAAAATTTACAAATCTACCATTCGTCACTGCATTGAATACTAACATGTTATCTGGCCTATTGCTCCTGCTATTCATCGCTGAGATTCTATTCGTTTCAAAAAAAAAAAAAAGGATAAACAATGTAATCGATTCTCATTTATATTAGTTTTTATTCACTTTCTCACCGACGTAGCCTGAAGATGGTCTGTCTTTCTATGAAAGCAGCTGCTAAATACGAGTGTTTTTTTTATTTGCTGGTGCGCAAACCACATGAATTTAAAAAAAAAATACTAGACTGACATTTAGCTATCGCCATTTTACTGTTGAAATAGTTAAATGTAACTGCGTCTTTTACTCCAACAGTTACTTTTCTTACACTTCCCACCTGTGGAACTCCCTTCCGTTTAAAAAAATAAAAATGATATAGAAGAATCTTAATAATTTAAATACAACGTCAATCGCCATCTACTGTCTTGAATCCCGGACATCTTTTGTCCTTTCCTTAATCTTCTGTTGTCAATCTTCTGTCTCAATTTCAGTCAGAAAAAAAAGGGAAACAATTGGTTTACCCGCAAATTTATTTGGTGATATGATTAAAATAACTGAGACACCCGGAAGAGGCATGGCATGTGGAACTAGAAAAATCTACGCCCGTAGACGAAATAAAGGGTTCAGTTCGAAATTCAACTCACCTGAACAACGCCTGGGCATACAGCGGTCGAACGTCATGAATATGGCAACAAAGATGAGGACAACTAACAACGTAAATAGTGTAAATTCCTTATCTCAGAAATATAAACAGACATGATAAATTCGTTTAAAACTCTCTTCTCTCTCTCTCTCTCTCTAATTCTCTCTCTCTCTTAACGACTATTCTTATCTTGAACTCCAATTGAGATTCAAATTCTCACCACACCCCAAGTTCGAACTCTTCCATTATTCATTTTCATAATTTTGTTTTGTTCAACTTAAAAAAAAATTTTCATATTTCACAATTTTTATTCTTTCCTCCATTCCAAAAGAAAAAAAAATCCTTGAAGTCAAAAAAGGGAATTTATATATATATATATATATATATATATATATATATATATATATATATATATTTTAAACCAAAAAACAGACCACTTTAAAATTTTATAATAATTTTTTTCAGTAAAAAATTTTTTATATGATCATCAAGATAGCAATTTATTTTTCGTTTCATTTATTTTTGGAAGTGCTATCTGATGATCCGGCGTCCTTTAAAAGGGCTCTGGTGAAATAAATTATTATAATGGTACCTTAAAGTAGTCTGTTTTTTTCTTTTAAATATTAGCTCTGGATTTACATTGTGCTCTCAGGATTTCATCCTCCTTAGGATTACCCATACGGATTACCAAGTTCTTCATAACTTAACTATATATATATATATATATATATATATATATATATATACGCCCCATCGCTAAAAATGCTAGAGGAATTGTTTCTTCCTTGTCTTCTTTTTTATGTACCTTATTCGCTGAGGACGTAGCAATCATGGCTCTCCACAATTTCCTGTCCTTTGTAGCTCTTAATAAATTTTATCTTTCTGTTATTTCTCTTAAATCCTGCCCGCCATTCATTTACTTAAGCTCACTAAGTAGGTTATGCTTTGTTTTCCTATGTCCCTCTTGCCTTCAAGCTGCCCTGTGAGTATCAGATTTTCCAAGCCCTCTTTTCTCATTCGTATGACTCCCTGCTTCACAAAAAAAAATGCTAATTTAGTATCGATGAGGTCATCTGTACTTAAAGTGCATTATGCTGTCAAGACAACAGAACAATTTGGTTGCTGAACTCTCTCTATATGCTATATCACTTCAGGATATAGGCAATCATGGCTCTCCACAAGTTCCTCTATTTCGTAGCTCTTAACAATTTTTGACTTTTTGTTATCTCTCCTAAACCTTGTTCTGCCATCCATCTACACAAGCTCATTCGTCTTCTATGTGCCATGTCGCTTCAGGACATTGGTAATCATGGCTCTCCACAATTTCCTGTCTTTTATAGCTCTTAATAAATTTAGTCTTTTTGTTAATTCTCCTAAACCTTGTTCTGCCATCCATTTATAGAAGCTCATCCTTCTTCTATGTGCTATGTCCCTTCAGAACATTAGCGATCATGGCTCTCCACAATTTCCTGTCTTTGTAACTCTTAATAAATTTAGGCTTTTTGTTATTTCACCATCCATTTCCTCAAGCTCACTCAGTAGGGTATGCATTGTTTTCCTCTGTTTGTCTTGCCTTCAAATCTGACCTGTGAGTATAAGATTTTCCAAGCCCACTTTCCTCATTTACATGACTCCTCTTTTTACAAATAAATGCTAATTTAGTATCAATGAGATAATCTGTGTTCAAAGTAATTAAAGTGCATTATGCTGTCAAGACAACAGAACAATTTGGTTACTGAACTCTCTCTATATGCCATGTCACTTCAGGACATAGGTAATCATGGCTCTCCACAAGTTCCTGTCCTTTGTAGCTTGTAATAAATTTTGACTTTTGTTATTTCTCCTAAAACCTTGTTCTGCAATATATTTATTCAATCTCACTAAGTAGGTTATTCGCTGTTTTTCTCAGTCGCTCTTGCCTTCAATCTGTACTTTGGGTATCAGATTTTCCAAGCCTTCTTTCCTCATTATGTGCCCTAGCAACGCCAGATCACGCTTCCTGATGTTTTTTCTCGGCTTTGATCACGTTGAAGGTACACAGTGTATCCATCTGTAGAACTAGATTTCTTCATCTTCATGGAGCTTGTCCAGCACTCCCTGCCATACAGGAAGGCGGATATCAAGTAACAGTCTAGTACTCTTTTCTTTGTCTCTAAAGAAACTTTTTCTGTCTCTTAATACTCTGCTTAGCTTTTGGAAAGTATCTTTGGCTAACCCAATGCGTCTTCGGATTTGTACCTCTCCTAGAAGTAACTATCTCCGTCGGCTTTGCTCTCTCTTTACAAGAGACATATATTGTTTTCAAGCATTTCACCCCAAGCAAGGTAATAAAGTAACTAAGACTCGGGGGTTACTGAGTGTTAAAGAATATAAGGAAAAAAAAAGCAAAACAAAATTAAGGAGCGAGTACAACATAAGAAACGGGAACTAAGGAGCATGCAATTGGCATTGCATTTACCAAACATTTTACGACTTGATAGAATTCAGAAGCGTCTTTGCGGCCTTGTGGGTGATGAATTATTTCCCACGTTTCTGCACAGACGAAATGTCGTGTGCCTGTCGCTATTTCCGTGGAAAATAGCTAAACGAACTGCATTCCTTCACTTCCCCGAGTTTCGACATTCACAACAAAACCCACGATCCCAAATACAGTGAAACGATTCATATCTATTTCATTCGTATTCCGTTAATGAGAAGTTCCATGGGTGTTGCCGAAAAGTGAGCGCGCTGGATTAAAGGTATCGGATTTTACTAGCTTAGAATACTACTTAAAAACAATACGAATTTGTTTAATGTGGCTTGTTTTGTTTTACGGCATATCAACATCTCAATGGGTTATTTAATGCCGACAAGATTTTTATTGCTGGTAATATTTTTATAATTTAACATATTATTATTTTTGGTTTTAAGTCAAGTACGGCGCCTTTTTTAAGGATGTTCATCTTTACATCAAGAAACTGATTCGATCCTTTCGTTGTTTGGTTTGGTTTGTTTTACGGCATATCAACATCTCAATGGGTTATTTAATGCCGACAAGATTTTTATTGCTGGTAATATTTTTATAATTTAACATAATATTATTTTTGGTTTTAAGTCAAGTACGGCGCCTTTTTTAAGGATGTTCATCTTCACATCAAGAAAATGATTCTATCCTTTACTTTTTTGGTTTGGTTTGGTTTGTTTTACGGCATATCAACACCTCAATGGGTTATTTAATGCCGACAAGATTTTTGTTGCTGGCATTTTTTTTTTCAGAAATGTATGACTCATAATATATATATTTTTTTAATTTATTACTGGTATTATTATTTTTTTTTTGCAAAATATTTCTGGTATTAAAACCTATTTTTACATTTTCATCGTGTTTTGACCCCTGTTTACGGGTTACCTATTTGCCTATAGCTGGGGCCCTAAGAGGTGCTACCACTCCGTGTCAGGGTGGACCCGTGAAAACCAGTAATTAATTGGTGGTTTCACTCTCCTCAAAATCTCCTGATCAGCGGCCTTGCTGTTGGATGTAGTTTATCGTCTTACCCATGACGTGGATGTAGTTTATCTTGATACACAGGACGGACGAATTTGTGATCGAACCCAACTGGCATAACTTTTGATCATTTTATTGCACGTTATAAATCTTGGGACCAGTTAACGAAAATTAAACGAGAACGAAGAATTACATTTTACCAATGTAAGTACCACAGAAGAGGTAACATTCTAGTCAGGTCGGAAATGGTCTGATGATTTAAAATAAGGAAAATATGTCGTTTAAATTGCGCGCTGAACTACTTCATGCAAAGAGGCCGCTGTCAGAATGGTTGAATGCGGCCAGCCAAGAAATGAAGAGGGGAGTAATGAAATATGTGAAAAAAAAATTGTGAAATATGAAAATTTTGCTGGTGCACTTGGAACAAAACCAAGATTCCCCAAATGGATAATGGAAGAATTCGAACTCGAAGGAAAAATGTAGACTCTCGAGGCAGTGTGATAAATGTGTATATAATGAGAGCTAAGCCTAAAACTTATAAGATGTGACATTAATTAAAATGAAAAACGTGGAAATATTAGGAACGAAAAAAATAAAAAAGATAGATGGAAAAAAGATACAAGAAAGAATGAATT